ACAGTAAAAGATCCAAGATGCACAGGGATCTGTGTGGAACAGAAAGGTGGAAGAGGTCAAAGGACATTTTCCTACAAAAGATGCCAGGTTCTATAAAAGATGTGGTGGCTCCTGCTATAATCCAGCACTTGGAGACTGATGCTGGAGGATTGCCATGAATTCAAGGCCAGCCTGATCTACATATCAAAATACAAAGCCATCCTGGGCTACATAGTATTAGGCTAGCCAGAGCTAACAGTAAGACCATGTTTCAAAACAATAATAAAAGAAAGAAAGAAAGAAAGAGAGAGAGAGAGAGAGAGAGAGAGAGAGAGAGAGAGGGAGGGAGGGAGGGAAGGAGGGAAAAGATGGACCATGCAGTAGTTTTTGAAAGAGGACACTTTGCCCTTGGAAAGTGGTTCTTATTGAGGAAATGTGTAATTAGAGGCCACATCCTGTCTCTGTTTAAGAGCTTAACATGTAGAGTGTTAGAGGAAGCAAGGACACTTAGACATGGGAGGAAGAACTGGAGCATGGTTCCCCTCAGAATCTTCCTTTGACTTTCATGCCCAGCAGGCATGTGGTGCAGGGGGTACAGTGGAAATTGGGGTTATGGATCCCACCTGCTGAGCATACTGAGCACACTTTCCAGCCCCAGGCTCCCCAGCTGTTTCTTAGGCTTTTGCCTTCTGTTTCCTGGCAGGGGACAGGCAAGTGGAGGGGTAAAAAGGGAAGAGGCCAGGGGTCACATTAAGTAAGTACTGACTATGAACCAAGGGTTGGAACACCAAGTTCCAGTGAATCATCACACTAACCTAGACAGGTCGCTTCATCATCACCTCATCTCTTCTTCCTGCAGTTCATTTGAGTCTTTACTAATGTTCCTGTGTAAAGATGGGAGGCTCTGAGAGATCAAAGTGGCTGATCTGAGGTTATCACACCAGGAGAACCTCAGATCCATGTCAGTTAGTCCAAGGTCCACAATCAAACACTCAGTCTCAGATGAAGTCTCTGATTCCTGTTTCTTGGCCCCAGAACTCTCTGGAAGTTCAGAAGGCCTAAGTTTCTGCTATTGGCAACTTCTGGTATAAAGTCTCATAACTTCTGGGCTTGGCTTTACTTATTTCAAAGCAAAGAGAGCTGGCTGGGGGCTCTTCTCTCACAAACACAAGCCAAGCAAGCAAGCAATGTGTGTCCTTTTCATGCCTCATTTATTTATCATTTTCCTTTAAATTAAAAAAGATATCTATTTACTGTGTGTGTTGAGTTCCATCTCTAGGACCCACATAGTAGAAGAGAAGAGACTCCCTCAAAGTTGTCCTCTGACCTCCACATGCACACTACAGCATGCATAGCAGCACCTCTCCAAAAACAAACAAACAAACAAACAAATAAATAAATGTAATAAATTAAGAACTGCCTTTAGTTTGAGCATGCTATTGACTTCTAGTGGGGGAAAGGGTAATGCTCTTAAACAAGTCTTTTCGCGTCTGTAAGCCTTGGTTTGCTGTCTGTAAAATGGAAATCCTGCTCTGCAACTGGTAAAGTTCTGCTTAAATGAGAGGGACAAAACTGTGATTGATGTTGAGAGGCTTCACAGCTGGCCACCTCCCCACCCTCCTGTCAGGCAGAATCCAGAGCAAAGAGCTTGTGCGAGGGAAGGACGGTAGCTTGGCTCAAGCATCGCTCACGTTTGATGCCACATATTAGGCCAGTGGTTCTCAATGGGGAGTGAGGGGGAAAGATTTTTGTCTTCCACATAACATTTAGTCAATTGGAGGGAGGGAGGGAGGGAGGGATGGAGGGAGGGAGGGACGGAGGGAGAGAGAGAGACAGAGAGAGACAGTCTCTGTTTTATTCTTTTAGACAGGGTCTCTCACTGAACCTGGAACTAACTCTTAATTAAACTAGCTGGCCAGGGAGCCCTGGGGATCTACCTGTTTCCATCCCCCAGCTGCATAACCTAGCCTGGCTTTTAGGTGGTAGGGATCTGGACTCAGGCCCTCATGTTGTGCAGCAGCATTTTGTCCACTGAGCCATCTCCTTAGCCCATCTGGAGGTATTTTCTATCAACTGAGGTGATGTTGCTTGGGCATCTAGTGTATAGAAGGCAAGGGTGATGATGATCATCCTATAGTGCACAAAGCCAACCTCACAGCCAAGAATCATCCAACTCAAGATGTCAGTGGGGTTGAGGGTGGAAAATGGATCCAGATCTTTCACCTGATGCCCACTGCTACAGACTATAGAGACAAGGAACTGAGTTCAGAGAAGTGAATGACTTGCCCATGGTTCCCAGGCAGCAGTAGCTGATGGCCGATGCTAGGCTCCATCTGGCGTTAAGGTGTGTGGTCCATTCTGCACACTGCCCTGCCTCCCTGCAAGACTCACTTGTCTCCAAAGGCCTGTGTTTGTCTGTTGCCTTTGCTCTGGCAAACTTTCTAGGACAGAGGCTCTTAGCTGAATCTAGAAACATTTTCACCCCATCTTAGTTTTAGCTTAGTTTGCAGTTAAAATTGTGACCATTGTTTCCACTCCTTGGCTCTGCCACACTCTTTATGACATTAACTAGTTTTACTTGAAGGATGAGTAACAGAGAGGGAATTTCCCCAGCAGCAAGGGATGCAGCTAACTTGGTAGAGTACTTGCCTAGCATGCACCCAGCCCTGCGTTCCATCCTCAGCACTGAATAAAAACCTGAGGGACAGTGTGCTGTAGAATGCCTGCAATCAGTGTAGAATGCCTGCACTCAGGAGGTAGAGGCAGGAGGATCAGAAGTTTAAGGTAATCTTATGCCACGCAGTGAGATGAAGGTCAGTCTGGATTATATGAGACTGTTTAAAAAAGAATCTTCCTAAGATCACATACCAAGCAGCAGATGGAAACAAATACCCTCATATGTGAACTTTCACCTTGAACTTGGTTCTATGGTTGAAGAGTCACAGAGCTATGCAGTGGGAAGAGGAAGAATTGCTACCCAGATACTCCCATCTGCAGGGGTCAGGCCACTGCCTCTTGGCCAGGTGGTCCTGGAGAATCACAGAAAAGTTTCAGCACTTTTTCTCACTCGAGGTGCCAAGAAAGGGTACTGGATTCTGAGGAGGGGCAAGTCACTACTGGAAGGAAGGGAAGCCAGAGAAAAAGGGCAGAGATAGAGAAAGAGGGGTGGACTTCCTCAGGGTTTGTGTGAAGTTCCCGGAGCAAACCTAGCCCCAGCAGCTGGGTCCACACAATGGTCTTCACTCTGGCACATAATAACTGATGACGTCCACACTACTGGACTGATCTGCATTTTGGCAAGTTTAGATTGGCAGTGGATTCAAGAAAGAAACTCTTAGGAAGAACCCAGGAATGGGTTTCACTAGGAACCTGTAGGGTGGTGACAGGAGGTCAGTCTCAAAGCTCTGCTCCTTCTGAGCTTTCTCAGACTGCCATTATTTCCTAGGACATGATGGCCAGCGGGAAGACCAGAGCTCATGTTGGGGAGCGTGGCACCCATGGGCCCTGCAGAAGCTGTTCTGGCTTTGTTGGTGACTGGCTGGGTGACCTTGAATGAGTCCTTTCCCCTCTTTGTGCCTCAGTTTGTTGGACTGTCAAACAAAGGGGCTGAGTCTTTAATCTAGCCACCCTTTTAGGCTTTAGGATTGCAGACGGGGTCATTTGTCACCCCCAGAGGTGACCTCTTTGGCCTCTAGGAAATACATTTCTCTCCATCCCACAACATAGTGCCTAGCCCCAAAGAACAAGACGAGATTTATCACTTTCCCATTCCCTGGCCTGCCCCACAAAGCTGCCTCAGGAGGCGGCTTTAATAAGGCTGCACAGCCAAACCAACACTGTCCCCAGCCCAACAGACAGGCTCAGCAGCATCCCTCTTTCTTGGCTGAATGCCCAGGGAATTCCATCAGGCCATGGCCACAGGAGTTCGGAGGGGGCAGACCCAGGGAACAAACCGGCAGAGGGCCAGCAGTCTTCTCCACATTGATATTCCCGTGTCCAGCAGAGGGGAGACATGCCTCTGGAGGGAACACAGCCCTTTGTGTGTGTGCTGACAGAGGTGGGGGCACAAGGGGGTCCTCACTGGTCCTGCAGTCTGAGGCCATCTGTGTCCTTGGACTTTGAAGGTCCCTAGAAAGGGACTCTAGGCCTATGATCAGCTTCAAGGGCTTCAGTTTTATGAGGCCTCTTTTGGTCTTAGCCCTGGCCATTGGGGTGAGGAGAGGTGGTGGGATGATGGGGAGGGGCAGTGAGGTGTGGAGGTGGAGTTGGAGGCGGGTGGGAAAAGATGGGAGGGTAGAGTGGGGTGTTAATGGGGTGGGATTTGGGGATGGAAGACTTGGCCAGAGTGTGGAAGCCCCTCCTCTTCTATCTTCCCTGGAGGAAGAGGGAGAGGCCCCTAAATGGCTTTAGTGTATGTTTGGGGGTGGCAAGCCACGTGGGCTCTGCTATGGGTGGGGATGGGTCTTCAAAGGGGTAGAATGAAATTAATTCATCTATCTGGAAAATCTAGTTTCTGGGGTGAGCATGCAGGGAAGGCTGTACAGGTTGGAAGGTGACTTGCAGCAGTCTGGCCTGGGATGTCCTTGTGGAAGGGAGAGGGGTCTCACCCCCAGGACTTCCAGGGTCGGGGAGGGCGAGGACCCTTTAGTATGAACGTGACCTCAACATTCCACAGAGGCAGGGAAGGAAGAGACCCTAACTTCGTTTATTAGGAATGGGAACCGAGAGGGTCTAGATATGGAGATGAGCAGGACTCCACTTTGGGGGGGCACATTCTATACCAGGGGTTAAACGAGGGAGGGACAGCTCCCTCCAGTGCTGCCGTCAGGGCGAAGGGCCTTTGCTGAAGGTTACTCGAAGCTGCTTCTCTCTCTGGGGGTGGGGAGTGGGAGACCCTTTGGGGCAGGCGCCCTCGTCCCTGGAGGATGGAGGGCCCGGATTCTGGAGGAAGATGCGCGGCTCGGGCTTCCTGGGTGCAGGGCTCCTCTCGTGAGGGCCGCGCCCGGGCGCAGCGCTCTTACCTCCAGGCCCCGGACGCGATCTGCGCTGCGATTCGTGGGTCTCCGACTTGCTTGATCCGCGCCCTGCGCTCCGGCTGCGCCTGGTGTCTGCTCCGCTTCCCCCAGCGACTCGCCAGGCTCTTAGGCTCCGCTGAGCCGCCTCGGCCAATCAGCGCCGCCGCCTAGGGGCCCTCGCTCTCGCTGCAGCCAATGAGAGCGCCCGCCACGGGCCACCGCCCCCGGGGGGAGGGGGAAGGCGGAGCTTAGGGGACAGAGTCTGGCCTGGGCGGGCAGGATGCGCTAGGGGTCCCGGAGGAGGGTCGCTAGGGTCCAGAAGCACCGGGCTGCCGGAGATGCCGCCCGGAACCCCGTCAGGGTTTGGGCGGTCTGGGGGTCGCTTCCCTAAAGGCGGGGGAGGCGCTGCAGTTTGATTGAACGTGATCTTCTTTACACCCCATCACCACAATCCCTGTTTGAAGATCCTGGGGCCTGCGGGTGAGTGTAGCTGCCCATCTCCTCCCTGCGCCTGGGATGCTTCCGAGGCTATTACCCCGGGCAGGAGCACCTCAGCCGTCCCTATCACTCACTCCCACCTCCTGGGCCGTGAGTAGTGCTCCGCAGGGCAATGCAAAAAGGGCTGGTCCAGGAGGCAGACCTTGATCCAGGGCAGATCATTTCCCCTCCCCTTCCTCAATTTCCTCAGTATTAAGTGGAAACAGTATTTGATTGTACCTCTTCCAAGAGTGTAAACCAGGCCTTAGATGCCATGAAGATGAGTTTGAACAATTAAAAATGTGGTGCGAAAACTGGTTCAAACTAAGGTGTGAATGACTGATAGTCACACTTTTCTTTTAAAACAAGATTTATTTTATTTTGATTGATTGTGGTGTGTGCATGTGTGTGTGTGTGTGTGTGCAGTGTTATGCCTGCATGTTGTAAGTACACCCATGTCATGCAATGCCCTTGGGTTACTGAAGAAAGCTTTGGATCCCCTGGAACTGGAGTTACAACTCAGGTCATCTGCAAGGGCAATATGTGCTCTTAACTGTTAAGCCATCTCTCAGGCCCTCTTTTTTCTTTTTCTTTCCTCCTCCTCCTCACTCCTTCTAAGGGAGGCGGCATTTATTTCAGTTCCTGGTTTGGGATGGAGTTGGGGTGTGAGGAGGAGGGGGAGAGGGGGAAGCCATGGCAGGAGGCCCAAGACAGTTGCTTGCTCTTTTCTTATGTTCCCCCCAACTTTCTAAAGTTACTTGGACAGAGGGTGAAATCATTCATTAGTAAAATCAAAGACACAAACATTTAACCCTCTCCAAGCTTATCTTAGGCAACTGTGTCCCTGGTCCAGCTGACTCTGGCAGAGCCCCAAGGTTTCCTCCTAACTTAAGCCTAGGAATCCAAGCAGCTTTACCTCAGGTTAGACATGGACTGTTGTCCTAGGGATAAATGGGTTAGGATGAACACAAAACAAACAAATAAACAAAATGCCTCCAAATAAGCAATCGAGTGTGATCCCTGAGTGTTGGGCCCCCAAAGAAGCAACAATTCAGGAGGAATTTAAAGGGGGGACTGGTCTTCAGTCCTTCAGAAACTAAGAAGCCATCGCTCTGGTATGTTAATCCTGTTACTTTGCCTGAAGAACTTTCTGGAGGCTGTGTCTTAAATCTAGCAATTTTCTCTTAAAACCTAAGCCTGTTGATAATCCCTTTTACTGCTCAGGACCTGCCCAAAGAAAGCAAACAGCCAATAAATACTTTGTCAAGGAAAGGCGAGCTAAAACAAAGACATGGAAAAGTTTTCACTCACCAAAACAACCTTGTGATCATTATTCTAAGTATTATCTGTAGCTTTCAAGGATTTCCACAGTCTCACATTGTGCTGATGCGGTTTGATGGCAGCCTTTCTCCAGAGAAAATGGAATTTTCTGTTTTCAAAAAATCTCACCGTGCACACCTGTAGTCCCAACACTCAGGAGGTAGAGGCAGGAGGATTAGAAATTTAAGGTCATCCTTGGCTACAATTCAGTTTGAGGCCAGCCTGAGATATATGAGAACTCCATTCAAAAAAAAATTTTTTTTAATGAGTTTATATCTGCAACCCAGCACTCAGGAGGCTGAGGCAGGAGGGTTGCCATGAATTTGAGGCCAGCCTGGCCTATTTAGTGAGTTCTGGGACATCCTGGGCTACAGTGTGAGACTCTGAGACCCTGTCTCAACCATACACACCCCCACTGCACCCCCCCAATCACAAATGGAATAGCTATCATATTGGACAGAAATAATGCAAGTAGTCAGCTAGAGAGCCAGAGTAGGTGAAACTATACCATTAGCAAAGGAGTTGTCTGTGCCACTTGAAACTAGGAATCATTTTAATTCACTTTGTTTTCAAGGTGGTATGGTGTTTGTTTTAGAGATAGTGTCTAGCTGTGTAGCCCCAGCTGGCTTCAAACTTGTGGCAATCTTTTTGATTAACTCTCTTGAGTGCTGGGATTTTAGGCATTTGCCAACATACATCACTTTACTAATTTCTAATTATTCTATAATGCTATATATGTATATATCCTTCTTATACTAAGAAAAAAATATTTGAAATGGGAAAAAAGGGGCTGGAGAGATGGCTTGGCAGTTAAGAGCACTGACTGCTCTTGCAAAGGACCAGGGTTGGGTTCCTGGCACCCACATGGCGGCTAACAACTGTAACTCCAGTTCCAGGAGATCTGATGCCCTCTTCTGGCCTCTGAGGATATCATACACATGGGGTGCACTTAGATGAATGCAGGCAAAATACTCATACATGTAAAAATAAAAATAGGGGCTGGAGAGATGGCTCAGTAGTTAAGAGCACTGGCTGCTCTTGCAGACGACCCACACCTACATGGCAGCTATCAACTGAATGTAACTCCAGTTCCAGGGATCCTCTGCAGGCATTGCATGACATGGGTTCACTTAACATACATGCAGCAATACACTCATACACATAACATAAAAATAATGAAAAATAAAAGTAAGTAAATCACAAAATTTAAAAATACTAAAATAAAAAAAAAGTAAACATCAAAGCCATAGATTGGCTCCTGGGCCAAATGCAGCAAGAGATATTTTGTTTTATTTTAGACAGAGTCTCACTATGTAGCCCAAGTTGGTCTTGAACTACTGGTATTCCTGCCTTGGCCTCCTGAGTGCTGGGATTAAAGACCCAGCTCTCATCTGCTTTTGAATGAAAATTGAGCTAACACTAGGTTTTACATTTTAAATGGCTGAAAGGAAAATCTAAAACAGATTCCTAAAGAAACCCATGAACATGATAGGAGATGGAAATATATATCTGTGTGCATGAGTAAAGTTTTATTGGCACACAGCTGCCCCATTCACTTCTGTGTCTTCACTGGCACTGTGGCGGAGCTGAGCAGCTGTGACCCTTCTTTGCATAAAGTTTGCCTCATCCTAAACCAAGCCTTCAAAGGCAGCAGGCATGTGGAGTCATCAGTTCATCTGTTCAGCCTTCTATGTCTGGGGTGTGCTCTCTGTGAGTTGGGCCTGCCTCAGTGCGCCCAGGGCGGGGCAGCTGCTTTCTCACTTGCTTAGCAGGAGTGGTAAAGGATGTTTCCAGCAGGTGCTTTGCAAGTTGATTCTCACATACTTCACTCTGACACTTGTGAGGAAAACTGTCAGCAGGGGAGGCAGCCCTTTGCAGGTCAGCTTTGCCTGCCTTTCCTGTAGTCCTGAGGTTTCCCTATAGAATGACTGCTGAGACCACAGGTGTCTTCCTGGGGTGCTGAGAGGGCACTGGGGCTGGCCAGAGGACTCACTCATACTTAGAGTCTGCTAGTGAACTCTTTCCAGAATAGCCCTGGCTGGAAGGGCAACACCCCCCACCCCCCACAGAAACATGCAGATGAAGACTGTGCCATACTAGGCTTGATGGTAGCCAAGCTCTGAATGGGGATTAGCAGCCCCCTGAGGCTCAGAGAAGGGGAGGATCTTGCCCAGAGCCAAGTTACATGGGCATTTTGCTTTCCAGTCCTGTGCTTTGCATACCACCAATCCCAAAAGATAAGAGGGGATGGGGAGATGCTCAGTTGGTAAGTGCTTGTTGCAAGAGCCTGAGGACCTGACACCAATGCCCAGATTAACGGTAGAAAGATATGGTGGTGTATGCTTGAATTACCAGCTCTGGGAGGCAGACAAGCAGGTTCTTGGGGCTGGCTGGTGGAATTGGTGAGCTCCAGAAGAGTGAGAGACCTTTTCTTAAAAAACAAGATGGATGAGGCCCTAAGAAGTGACATCTTTGGGGCTGGAGAGATGGCCCAACAGTTAAGAGCACTGGCTGCTCCTGCAGAGGACCCAGTACCCACATGACAGCTAACAACTGCCTGTAATTCCAGTTTCAGGGTATCCAGAAGTCTCTTCTAACCTCCTCAGGCATTGCATGACACAGGTGCACCTACATACATACAGGCAATATATTCATATGCATAAAAATAAAAAATAAATAAAATATTTTAAAAATAAGTAAAAAATACAATATTTAAAAAAGAAGTGACATCTGAGGTTGACCTCTAGCCTCCACAGACATGCACACATATATTTACCCACATGTGGCTATACATATACACACATACATAAATACACACACACCAAAATAATAAATATTGAGGACATCTGTGTGTGGTTGGAAAGGAAGTCACACTTGATGTTGCATTCTAGTTCCACTTCCCGATGGCCAAATGGTTTTGGACATTTCTTACTCATGAGTTCTGGGTTCTTATCTGTAAACCAGATAGTTAAAATATCTACTTTAATTGCAACATGTAAAGGAATGAATTTGGACCGTTACCTCACACCTTATATAAAAATCAACTCACAGTGGATCAAATACAAGGTCTAGGGGCCAGTGAAATGGCTCATCATAAAGGTGCTTGCAACCAAGTCTGACGACCTGAGTTCAATCCCCAAGCTCTACATGGTGGAAAGAGAGACTTATTCCCATAAATTGTCCTCCAACTGCCACATGTATGTCATGGTACATGCTAGTATACACACACACACACACACACACACATAAATAAATAAATAAATGTAATAAAAATGTAAAAATAAACAAAATCTGAAACTATAAAATTGTTAGAAAAAACAGG